CTCGCATATCGCATTTATTTTATTTCTTTTTAATCGCTAAATTTATTTAATTCTTAATTCCCTTTTACCGTCCATGTGGAGACGATACTCGTACTTGCACCATATACTCCTACATATTAATAGTGCGAGAAAACTCACATCAATTTTTGGCGCCGTTGCCGGGGACAGTGTCGGTCTTAAGGGTTAATTAGACTCAGCGTTCTGTTTTTAGTTTTTTCGTATGATTTTTTTTCGCTAACCTTGCAGGTCAGATCTGTTTATGCATACACGCTCTAAGAGGGGAGAACCATTAATCCCTCTTAATCTTGAGATTGAAAAGCTCGCTAGACAGAACCGCAAGGCTCAACGAGAGCAATAGCTAGCCATGGATCCGTCCTTATCTGGAAACATAGGGTCATCTAGTAACCCTAACCCTACTTCTCAGCAAGATTTTTATGTTAACACTTGTTCGCAATCTACCCTGCCAATTTTTCCAAGAAACCGCCCGCCTAGTTTTCAAAATTACCGCACCCCACCCATCTTTGCCCAAAATCAATCCGCACCACAACTAAACTTCCCTCCACTCTATCAGCTTTTCCATAATGTTTCTGCTATCCCTGAACCCACTATTCCTAATTCGACCTATGGGATGCCAGGCACCAATCAAAACATTCCTATCTTTCAGCCAGGCCAGAATATTCCTCCAGTCAGTCAAAACACCTTCCAAAATCAGTCCCAGTACCAGAATCCTTATCCCAATCAGTACCACAACCAACCCCGAGTACCGCCTGCTTAGCCACAACCATCTTTCCAGCCTAGACAACAGGTGCCTCCGCAAAACTCTTATATCCCGCACAATAATCCACTTTATCAAGGTCGGACCATTGCAGAGTTCCTTACGCCAGACGTCTCAGAGTATGATAGCATTCAGGTGTCAGGAATTACTACCAACCATTATGAGATCAAGCCGACGGTGATAAGCATGGTGTATAATACCCAGTTTGGAGGAGGTCCTATAGAGGATCCAGTTGCACATATTACCCGCTTTCTGAGGATGTGCCAGACTTTCAAGATACCTGGGTTAACTGATGATCATGTACGGATGATGCTTTTCCCTTTCTCATTGAGGGATGATGGGCAGAGGTGGTTGGACAGCAATCCTCACCACCACCTCCAGACTTGGGACCAGCTGCATAGGGCCTTTATAAAAGAATACATTCCAACATCAAAGGCACTTAAGTTGAAAAGGCAGCTGCAGGAGTTCGAGCAGGGATCTCTGGAAACACTGGCTGAAGAATCGAAGAAATTCAAGGTGCTGAGAAGAGCTTGCCCTCAGGGCAATTTGAGTGACTGTGAGGTTCTTTTCTACTTCTATAGCGGACTCAACAATGAAGAGAAGATGATGTTGGATGCTTCAGGTGACGGAGCTTTTCCTCACTTACCATCTGAGGTGGGGGAAGAACTAGTGGAGAAGATTGTTTTGAATAATGAATCATGGTACATCTCTCAGGACACACCTCACCAAAAGGCTTCGGGCATGTACGAGATCAGTGATAATTCTCTTCTTTCTTTAAACTATGTCTTTGTGAGCTTGCTAGCGTTTTGACTATGCTTTTAGAACATCTTTGAAGTGTTTAGGCTTAAATTGCTTACATTATAATCTTGTTGTTGAAAGGATGAAGACATTAGTCACCCATTTAATTCATAATTTTTCCATCTCACCTGAACAAGTCCTTTAGGAGAAGCTACTCTGAACCTGACCGTTTATTCTTTACCCAATCAATTGAGCTCCATAGCCAAATGGCATGTTTCCTTACCTGTGAATAATTCTGACATAGTCTTGGTGTTTCGGGAACTAGGGGATTAATTTGCTAAGTTTAGGTAATTTTTGTAGGAGCCACCTTTGGCATTGTTCCTATGCCCCAAATGGGGTAAGAGCAGTCACTTTTTAGGAATTTGATATTTTCTAGTATTGCATTGTAGGCATGGATTCAACTTGATTAATTGAACATTAATTGCTAATTTTCTTTGGTGAGACCGAGATTAGAATGAGGTAATGTCTAGTGAAAATCTACAAATTGAAAAAAAAAATAAATGAACTAGACCTCTTACCTTTCGAAAATGAGAATGGTAGCCCCGGTCAAAAAGCGTAAATGTTCTGCACAAAAAGATGAGACTTAGGGATCTTTCGAAAGAAATGGCGTTCTCGTGCCAACATGACAAGGAAAATTGATCTTAATTAATTAAACTTGGAGACTATTGCAAGATTAGCATTAGTACTTCACGTACTTCAAGTATACTTCAAAGCACCAATGTGCCGCGGCGGTTTAGCTTAGTTGTACACCATGTCTACTCTTTGCATCGGTTTAGATGATAGTTCCTAATTTGTGTCCTACTAAATTCCTTAATCCAAAAAATAGCCTTGAAATTCCTGAACGCATTAAGTTTTTGTCAGATTATTGCAAAACTCTCAAAGAAAGAGACTGTTTATTCCTTACCATTCACCATTCACCACCGCCTTCACAAGTCCTTTTGATCAGTAGCTAGTTTATTAGTGTGTGCTTCCATAATTTTGAGGATGTTGTGATTAATTTAGTCATTGATTTTAGCCAGAGTACAAAGATGTAGTTTATGGAAGAATTTTCTTGGTTTACTCTGTATGATCTATGAATATCCCTTTAACTACCTGTGCGTGCTAATTGTTTTAATTTCGTGTGGTGATTATCGTAAGTCTCGTTGTTCAGTTTGCTCGAGAACAAGCAAAAACTGTGGGAGAATCTGATAAGTCCATATTTCAACACGCTTTTGATTCGTGTTGGGATCAGCTTTTGACCACGCATTTGATGCGTGTTGGGATCGTCTTTTGACGATTTTCCCTAGCTTTAAAGGTGATAAGTCGCAATTTTAGATCAAGTCACGTTAGCCGGGTGATGGATCAAGTTTTGATATTTTTAGAGTTGAAATCATGTCTTTTAGGGCCCGACACCGGTGCTTGAGAAGCAATCGGGACGAGTTGAGAAGCATTAGAGATTGATTTTAGAGCTTTGGAGGTTTTCGGGAGGTTTACGATGAAGATTTGAAGACAAAAGAGCTCTAGAATCGGTTACGGGATCAAAAGAAGACGTATAGAGTTTGATAGCGGCGCTCAGGATGACCTTCTGTCAATCGTTCAAGCATATCTTTCTGTAGAAACATCCCATGAACACGATTCAAGTTCCATATGAAATCCAACTTTAAGGGCTACAAATAATATGAAGACATCATTCTGAGAATCTGAGAAGAAGAAGGTGAAAACAGATGACGAAGACAGATGATCCCTATTGCCAATTCAGAATGTGACCTTCCACCATTTTATTCATATCTTTTGATTGAATGATACAAATCCAGTTTTGCAAGTTTTGGTGGATAGAGGACTTCATTAGCTACAACTTGCATGAAGGAAGCCTTAACAAAGTCGGAAAGGAAACAACTCTGAAGCTACTGTCAGTCAAGCACGCCGTGCGTGCTGAGTATGCACGCCGTGCGTGCATAAGAGCCGAAGTGAGGAAGCTACTGGAGGGTACGCACGCCATGCATGGATGTTAAGCACGAAGTGCGTGGGCGTGAAACGCGCGTTTGTTCTGTACGCACGGACGCCACGCACGTTGTGTGTAGCACCGTGCGTGGGTCCGAAAATCTAGTTTCATTCGAATTTTTCCTCTTTTTCTATAAATAAGGCCTCTATGCTCCCATTTAAGGAAGATGGAACTTAGAGAGAAGAACTAATACGAAATTTTGAGAGCTTTGAAGCCTTGTTCTTCAATTCTTTGGGTTTATTTGTAAGTTCCTATTTTTTAATTAATGACAATTATTTCTATTCTTCCCAATTCTATTGATTTTTCAATTATGAGTTGTGAGTAGTTTTAATTAGGGATTTTGGATTGATGAAAGGGTGAATCATGATGTATGGCTAAAATCATGATGGATTAATTGAATGAATGTATTTAATTTGTGTTTGAATGATTTAATTTATATCTTTTGTAACATAGAACGGCCGCTAGAATTACAATTGCTTGTAGAATAAATTAAGAGAGATTTAATTTATTCTAGGACACATTCACACACACTTAATCGTTCGCTAAGAGATTAGTAGCGATTAAGGGACCGTAAGCTCGTTCGTCTTGACAATAATTTAGGAACTTGTCGCATGAGAGATCAGCCTGGTCTCCTAAATAATTGTACTCTATGCCGCGAGAGCGCTAAGAACTTATTAATGATTAGCTAGGCTCAATTAAATTAATTTCATGTGATTAAGCCTGATCATCCAGAAATCTGATTACCCCGGAATCAATCCATGTTTCCTATCGTCATTAATTAGAAAGTACCCATTAGTTTAATTTCTTTTTTCGCAATTTAATTTTCCAATTAATCAAATCTTGCACATCGCTTTTATTTTATTTCTTTTTAATCGCTGAATTTATTTAATTCTTAATTCCGTTTTACCGTCCTTTTGAAAATGATACTCGTACTTGCACCCTATAATGCTACATATTTGTAGTGCGAGAAAACTCACATCATTTAATTATCTTTATTAGATAATTAGTACTCGATTTACTAAAGTATCAAACGTTATATATTAAATACCAGACACACTATGATTGAGTATATGGGTTGAAACCTCACGATCCACACACTCATTGAAGACAAACATCACAAGACTCTGACGTACCCCTCGGTTGGTCCCCTCGACTAGACAAGCCCACTCCTACAGATGAGGCCCAAAAGCTAAAGATCAGAGAAATGGAACAAGAATGGTCATATAGGCCTGGCACCCTCGGCCAGGCACCCTCGTCATGACAACCTTGTCTACAGAGGCGGAAGTACCTAGGGGCTTGGGGGTCCCCCAGCCCCTCCAATTTATTTAATTAGTCCTTGCAGGCTGCAGCCCACATAACTAAGCCCATTCTGCGGCCCAAACCATAAGCCCTCTCTACATGTTAAGTTGGCTTAGCCTCTTCCGCTTAAACAGTTAAACAATTGAACGGCAAAACAAATTAAATGAGAACGGCGAAGAGCAGAAGTCTACGCATTAACGAATAACAAAGACGCCAAGTGAACAGCCAGGCCCAGGTAAGCACTAAGCCTTAATTCCATAAATGAGTAAATCTCTTTTTATTTATTGATTTTGGATAGCAATTGTAATGGTTGGATAAATTGGTTGGTAAATGGAAATGTTGTAGCTTGTAGGGTTGAAAGTTATTTGTTAAAGGTTAATTTTAATTTATAATTGTTAATTTTATTTTTTTGTAGTATTTCTAAAATTTATTAATTGTTAATTCTTATAATCGCTTTAATTGTAGTATTTCTAGGTTGTTTGAGAAAGAATCTCTATGTTACGATTTTATCCAAAGGTTCCCAAAGGTAGTAAATGGCCGAGCATTGATGGTTCTTCATCAAAGAATGTAATTTCTTCGTCTAATATCACTCCTGACGTTGAAAATAATGTTAAAAAGCCTCGAATAGAAGTTGAAATATCAGAGGACGACATTGTTGGTGATCCTGGATTGCGTAAAGCGATTGAAAGTTACGATGTTAATATTAGAAAAGAAGTAAGAAGAGGTTATTTGACAAAGGGTCCTACTCAACCACGTGAATTCAAATTTCCACAAACTGAATTTAGTGGGTGTATGAGATCATTTCAAAAGCAGTGGTTTGAAGAATTTAATTGGTTGGAATATTGTGTTGCTAAGGATGCAGCATTTTGTCACTTGTGTTATTTGTTTGCTAGAGGCCATAAAATGGGGATGATGTTTTTACTAAAATTGGTTTTAATAACTGGAGGAAGGCTAAGGAAAAATTCCGTGACTACGAAGGAACTCCTAAAAGCATTCATCATTATGCAAAAATTCAATATTCTGGGTTCAAAAACCAAAAGCAAAATGTGGATTATGTATTATCCCAACAAACCAAGAAAGATGAGATTGATTATTGTGCTAGATTAACAATTGTTGTTGATATAATTCGATTCCTTTTAGAGGGTGGATTGGCTTTTCAAGATCACGATGAATCAGATACTTCAATGCATTCAGGTAAATATTTATTACATTATTTACATTAATTTTTATCTTATTTAATACATTATTAATTTATAATGTTTATTGTAAAATTTGTATAAATGTATATACAGGTAATTTCCTTGAACTCTTGAAATGGGAGTGTAGAAGGCATCCACATATAAATAAGGTAATGAATTTAAATGCTCCTGGGAATAGTCAACTTACCTCTCCTAAAATTCAAAAGGAGATTGTTAATGCGTGTGCAACTGAGGTAAGACATGCTATTATTAATGAGATTGGTAGCAAGTATTTTTCTCTATTGATTGATGAGGCTCGAGATAGTTCAATAAAGGAGCAAATGTCTGTGGTTTTAAGGTTTGTTTCCTCTTTGAAGAACAGTGGAATAGTTGGTAGTTTTTTCGATCATCTAGTCATGATTGTAAATGTGGTTGGTGCTTCATGTAAAAGATGATCTTTTGCAAAAGCATTATGAAAATCTAGTAGGCCGTATACAACGTGGTGAGGTCAGCACAGGGTAAGGGAAAAATCAAGAAAAAAGTCTTGTAAGACCAGGTGATACTCGTTGGGGATCTCATTATAAAACAATCATAAGAGTTGTAGATATGTGGGATGCGGTGATTGAGGTACTTGAAGCCATATTTGATGATGATATTGATCAGAAAAGTAAATCCATTTCTTCTAGTTTGATTGAAAAAATGGCAACATATGAGTTTGTGTTCATTGCTCATTTCATGTTGCAGTTATTAGGAAAAACTAATGTGTTATCAAAAGAATTGCAACAAAAGAATCAAAACATAGGAAATGTTGTTGATCTTGTCAAGACAGTCAAGGCCGATTTGGAAAGTTAGCTGAATGATTATGGTTGGGATTTGTTAGTTGAACAAGTGACTACATTTTGTTCAAGTCATGGTATTGATGTGCCTAATATGAAAGATGTAAAACGAGACAGAGTGAAAAGACAAAAGACAGTTGATGGTAGCCCGAAAACTTATTACCATTATTTTCATGTTGACATATTTCTCGAGGTGATTTTGGACATTTATTTCTTATTTAAGTGTATTTCAATTTATTTGTTTTACTACACTATTTCATTATTTTTTTAAATATAATGTTAGGTTATTGATCGCCTTATGCAAGAGATGAATAATCGTTTTACAGACTCATTCTCTCATTTTGATTTGAAACGGCTACTTCGTCTTGCTGAATTAAACCCAGATGATTTTAGCTCAAGAGAAAAACGTGAACTAAATGAACAACTTAGGTTGTTTCTTACATTTGTCAAATCATCTTCAGAGTTCTCAAGTCTTCAAACTATTGGAGATTTGGCAAAACAAATGGTTGAAACGGAATGGCACACAATTTACAGGTTAGTGTACCGACTCATTCAGTTGGCATTGGCCTTACCTGTTACAACAACCACAGTTGAAAGATCTTTCTCCACAATGAAGTTTATCAAGAATGATTTGCGCAACAAGATTGGAGAAGAATTCTTGACAGATAGCTTGATGTATTACAATGAGAAAGATACTTTTGTTAAAGTTGAGAATGAAGACATTATGAGGCGATTTCAGAGTATGGGGCCTCGAAGACATAAATCGTCATCTCCCAATATTTCTCCTTTATTTGACGCTCCAGTAGCTAATAAAAATTAAGGTACTATTGTGTTAGCTGTTTTATTTAAATTTTATAGTTTTGTTTATTTTTGTATTCGTGACATATATGATTTCTTTGTTAATGAGCCCCTGAGAGCCTATAGTCCTGGTTCCGCCACTGGAGTTGTCAAGGACATCTGGCGGGCAGTTCCTACTTCATACATAGCACGATAAATTCATGTAATCGGGCCACTCAGGCCCAAGATCTGGGATTCCAAACCACATTTTATCTATAAATTCTTCCCTTGGCGGTAGTTGTATGGGGTTTAAAAATATTGAATGCAAAGAATTTTCTCTCTAGCTCTCACTTCTCTCTAGATCTATAATCTATCACATTAGTTAAATAATATTTAGATCATGTGACGTAAATCCAACATAAATGTTATTGACATTAAACTACACAATTCATTTATTTCTTACTTTAATTTCTGAAAACAATTAATTGCACATATAATAAAATTTAACTTATTTAGCATGCATTAATACAAATATTACATGCACATATAATACGTAGTATTATTTTAGAACTAAATAATCTCATACATACTATTGTAGAATTAAGAAAACTCGCTATGACTTACAAACACCTTCCTTGATAGGCAAAAATTGTAATTCAAAAACCAATTATTTATTTCGATAAGATTCATGTGATTAAAGAGGTAGAAATTATTTAAAAAGTATTTGTGGATGTGTACCATTTAAACTCTTTATCTTCAAATAATTTGATTCAATCTTATATATTCTTTTTATTTTCAAAAAATCTTTCTTTGATTTGACATTTTGACGTTTTAATGTATCGATAATGCTTTTTTCTAAAGCATTTCAATTATAATATCAAATTTATTTTTCCATTGTCTAAACGTACAATGTAACTCTTAATAGATTTAAATATCGTTGTGTATGTATTAATTGAATTTTTTAAATAAAAATAGCCACAGAGTCCTATTCAAGAGGGCGAAAAAAATTGAATCGCTACACTAGTGAAACAAATGGCCATCTTACACTATATAAACAACACTAGCATAGTAACGCGCTTTGCGCGAAATCCGTGCCCAACAATGGAAAACAAGCGATAAAGCTGTGCAAAAATAATAAAATAAAAATATGAGAAAAGGCAGTTCAATCATGCAAAAACAATTATCATGTGGTTAGCTTTTTTTTTGGATAAAAGATCAAAGTGAGTTTGAGATCGAAAAAAGGATATAAATTACGAGTACAAGGCTAATAGATACAGCGTTAGCATGCAGTTGATTTCTCCCAGATTCAACTCCACCTGATTTCTTTTTTCATCGCTATGATTGTCGTAATTGTCATCTTCATATGGACAATTTTATCCTTGTGATAAACTAAATGCAATGCAAGGTACAGGTATCCTATAAAACAAAATAATAAGTCAGGGGCTCAATACAACAAAAGATTAGCTATACGTCATTGTGTATTTTCTATGTTCACCATCTTATATGCTTTTACAATGTTTAACTACTTCTAAAGAAATCAGAGCACTAAGAACATAGAAGTACATAAAAACCATAAAGCTAAGGGATGAAATTATTGTCAACTTGTCAAATGTGGAATCTTTTCATTGGTAAATACATCTAGGAAAGTGAAAAGCCTATGTTGTCAAAGCTGAGACAGAAAATGAGAAAGACAATAACAACAAAATACTAATGTTAGAAAATAATGGACCAAACAGAAAATGAACTAATGTGAATTGAACTAATGTGAAACATAGACAATAATCCTCTTAGCAGAGGATCAAGAGCTAATTGTGGCAGATATTCTTAAGATTTCCTTTAATTTTTATATCCAATAAAAGTAAATAGTTGAAGAACATGGAATCATTTTGTGGAATTTTAACCTCAAGCTTACCTTATCAAGTGCCTTTTATCATCGTGGAATCAATGTCAAGAAATATCCACTCTCTTGTATAGATGCATCTCTAACTGCTCCAGAAGCCTGAAACCATGGCATTGCCAACTGAGAGTGCTCTGTAGAAGTCAAGTGTTGTCAGTTCAAACAGCATATATACACTTTACTCACACTTTTCTAAATTCAAATATCGCAAGTGAACTTCATTCATGCTTCTCTAAACGCATGTGGCGTACACTTGGAGATTTTTTTGTCTTAAGACCTTCACAAAATAGTCAACATGCAAACAATCACATGTTGGTTTTCCAAGAATTCAAATGCAATGGACATGTTGTTATAAGATTGATAAAGGAATGATAAAAAAAATTAGTGGCTTAGGGACAGTATGTTGGAGAAGAAGGCAGTTAAAAATTAGTGGCTTAGTGTTTCAATGATAAACTTTTATGATTTTAAAACTGCAAAAATGCGTGAGAAAGGAACGTCATAAATTGTTGTAATCAATAAATAGTATATTCATGGTGCCCTGAATTATTTTCAATAAACTTTGGGCACTAAATTGAAGTTCATTATGCACTGAGATATTAAATATGTATTATTGATAAATTTATTATGCACCAGAACACATTTCAAGTGTACTCTATAGAGTTATTATAATAAATGAATTTTAGTGCACTAAACTTAACATCAAAGTGCACTAAACATAACGTCAAAGTCCTTTGAGATGTTAAGTGTGCTATATTTTGTGCACTAAACTTGACGTCGAAGTGCATTGATATATTGTGGTATTGAAAGTGCACAAAACTTTTTGCACTATTTTATACTAGTATATTGGAAGTGCATTAACATTAGTGATGAGTTTTTTACGCACCTATAAATCCATTTGAAGTGCACTATATGAAGCTAACAAAATATATTTGAAAAAATAAATTAACAAAAATGATTTGAAACAACTAACACAATTACTCAAAATCCGTTGAAAAAGAAAAACTAAAAGTATATTGAGTCACCTGTTGTCCAAAGAGAAAACTATTCAGTCGTTTAAGTATTCATCTGTTATTGACTTATTGTATATATTGTGATCGAACAAATTCTTTCTATATTATAGTATACATTTAGATACCAAATCGGCTCAATAAACTGGCCATCCTCAAGACATCAATGACTGCCAAAAAAGAAAAAATATGTGAACTTGTCATCAAACAAATTCCACCGTGCTTAAGTTCCACCCTAACTTAAGTGGAGAAAGCACGATGATTTGAAAATCTGAAATATCCATAATTTGCACCCTAACTTATTAGCATCAATTTACATTATACTCCTTCATAACTCAAATAATGAACAAAAGGTACTCATACGTAGCTCAGTATGGATTATGCACTGGGGCTGCTGTTTTTTATTCAGACTGTTCAACAAGTCATCAAACGATAATCTTACTCTGAACAATTAAAACAATTGACAACAATCTTATTATGAACACTAAGTCATCAAAAAACGCTTTACAAATGAATCCAAACCACTGAAACACAAAAATGGGGGAAACAATAACAAACAAGGACAGAACACGCACCTGGAGAAGCGTGAGGGGCGAGGGGGTGGGAAAAATCGACTGTCAATGGAAGAAGTAATGAAGATGACCGTCGTGGCCCTTGAATTTACATAACTTCCTCTGGAAAAGAGAAAGGCAAATTAAACAGCTCCATAAATGGCAGAGTAATGAGCACTTCAACAGAATAAAAAAAACTTACATAGAACGCCGAAGAAGAAGGAGAAAGCGAGATATTTGTATGAAGCAAGATACTCCGTATATGTTTTGCACCGACCTGACAAAACAGTAAACGAACGGTCCTGGCCACGGAATGAATTAAGTTGCACCAAGGAGGAGAAGAAACGAAGAAACGGGGGAACAAACGGTGGAAGCTGTTAGTTGGGTTTGCAGCAAAAAGGGGTAACGGCTGGGGACCGTTCACACGGCAAAAGAGCCATGGTAACCCCTACCGGCGCTTTATATATTTAGGGGATGTATTGACTTTGGCAATGATAGTAAACACAGATCACATTATATTAAAAATATTGATATGGTTTATAAATATTTAGTTCAAACTATAAAGATTGAGAGACCGTTTGCTAATAGTCAAATCGGCTGCATTGGCTGATTCTGCTGAAATTTATGAAGTTCTAGCTAATGTGACTGTATTAGCTGATTCTGCTGATTTGTGAAAAATAATAATATAAAATAAATTTTATTAATAAAATAAAGAAAAAGTTGTATGAAAAATTGCTAAAATGGCTCTCTACAGTAACTTCAGCTAATACAATCAGAAAAGTAACTTCAACCTTACTTTTTCTTATTATTAATTTATTACACAATTCAGCCCGTAAAACAAAAGTTGTGTGTTTGGTGAAAAAATTGATTTATAAGTCTGAAAAGCCTAAAATCATAGCTACCGAGCAATGAGATTAGATTAGAAAAACATTTAGAATTGGACTTCGAAAATTTTAGATTAAAGCCACGATAAACGATGCAACTTGTGCATGTCAATACGGATGGGAGTGTTAGAGTGTATCTACCAATCATCAAACAATATCCATTGGTCTACACCTTAATTGAAAAAGTATTTTATACGCGATCAAATTGTGTGAATATTTTTTTTCAATTTGTGAAGAAAAATGTTTTCCACATAAACAAACTTTTTGTCCGTGACATAGACGTATTTTTGACTGGTGGGAAAAGTGATTTTTCACAAAATAGAAAAATAATGTAGGAATCAGTATCATGGTCTTATTTAATACGTAGTACTGTAGTACCACGTGTGAATTTATTATGATATGATAATGGCATGCATTTAGGTTTGTATCAATACTCTTCTGTCTAAATTGCCAGCCACGAGACGATAAGATTTTAATTTGGGAAATTATATTTTTTATGACAAATTTGAGAAATTACTTTAGTTTGAAGTTAAATCGAAAAGTAAAAGTTGTAATTAAAATTTATGTAGGATAAAGAGAAATTATATAGATCATATATTTCTTGGCAAAAAATGAAACA